AGTACACCGGAAGCTGCAAAAGTACAGTCTAGGCCTCCTAGATGGGGTCCGAGTAGATGGGGTCGTAGGATCGTGCCGCATCGCCGATGCATCGGCGATGCGGCTCGATGTGGACTTTAAACGGAGAAGGTTAAAGGCGAGGTATAAATCGAGCATGTACCGCTGCCGTGCCTGGCTCAAGCCGGGCCCGGCCAAATATGTGATTGTGCCTCACCGAGGCGCATGACTTGTATCTGAGATCGGAAAATACCTTTTCCATTGACGATGCCCATCCTATCCTTTACTCCAGATCCCATGCTTCGTCTTGCTCTCTTGCTCATGCGATATGAGCCAAAGCCTGGGATATGGCAACGCTTAAAGCGTAACACATACCTAAGCTTACCAGCTTGTTTTCGACTTGGTAGCGGAGCTGGCTACACTCTCGTGTGGCTGGCTCTCGCTCTGATTCCTGTAATCCACGGCACAACTTGGTGGACTACTACTACGGTGGAATACCATGTTGCGCCGGCTCTGCGAGGAGCGGAGCCAGTCCGCGATCGAGCTAGCGGGGCAACCCGCGAACTCGAGACGCTCTCTCCTACTTCACTGCGCTACTTCACTCTCGACTTCCACCAGATGCCAATCGGCAACTCGATCGAGAACGTGGTCACCCTGCGGGGCTACCCGCAGCGGGGCCACCTGCATCCCGTGCCAGTCAGGCGCCTCACGGCTACTACGCCAGAGCCTGACAAACCACAGCCTAAACCAATCACCGAAGCCGAAATGCACATGCACTGGATTAAGATAACTATCTTCGGCATTCTGTGGGTAATAATGGGATGTGCTGTGGGATACATGCGGCAGGGGATGGACGACACGCGTACTACTGGCCCTTCATGGGACCCTGCCGGTACTACGCCTTTTCGCGAATACGTTCGCGAAGTACATGCATGGATAAACGTAACGAGCGGCAATATGACGCCACCACAACAAGCTGCAGCACTACAACGAGGCCTTCAAGGTCTTGCTCGTCGTATCGCCATGCAGGTCCCCTCCCAGATCATCAACTATGGTGTAACTGTCAATGGACAGCCAACGGATGCAGTCACATATATACTGTACCTACTGAGCACCAAATTTGAAAATCTGGAAGATGAGCGCCAGCTCAACTCTGGCACTGCCCTTATCGACTTCCGCGTCGAAAGGGGCGAGCGAATCGACTCAGTATTAGCTCGATTCGAGATGGCCCGTGACGAGGCTAACTCTGTTGGCTTTGTCATCCCCAACTTTCAGATCCTAACGCTGATTCTCTTCAGAGCGTTAGGCGTTGGCGCGTCACGAGCCCAACACCTGCTGGAGCCTTTTAATCATCAGATGCCCAGAACACAAGCAGACTATGACAGGCTGCTGACCAGGATGAGGAACTACGGACATGTTGCCGAGCGCTCTCCTGGCAACATTGCGGGTATCTTCACAGGGCACCACTCACATGCAGGTGTCTACGCCACGACTGCGGGGTCACCCGCTGGTCCTGGCGAGCCAAGTCCCTGGGCTGACCCAGCCGATATGCCCAACGAGGCCACTGCCTTCTTAGGGCAGACCGGCCAGGCATCGGCAGAGGCAGCTGAGGCGAACGCCTGGTCGAACTACTCGCCAGGCGCCGCCTACACTGCAAGCCCGCCCTCGGGCACAACCCTCTGGGGCCAAGCGGAGTCATCCGCTCAAGGGTCTCAGCCACCCTCACCGTTTGAATCTGGCACTGACACAGATACCTCATCTGACGATGAGCACAATGGCATAGTCTCTGCTGGTAATGACTATCCAGCGGATGACACTCACCTTTCTGAACAACAAAGAGCGGAAGCCGCTTTTATGGCCTATCGCAAATCAAAACGCCGTTGGAGGCGCTTTATGAAGAAACCAGTCAGAAAAGTGAGACGTGCAGTACGCCGACATTTCAAACGATATGGAAAGGGTCGTGGCAAAGGGGGTCGCAGACGCCGTATGCATGGTAGGGGTATTACTGCTTTCCTCACGTCCTTAACTGATATAGTCTTTGAGGAAGTTCTTATCGGAGGCAAAGGTCGGGGTCACAGGCGGACCTCCGGTAAGGGAAAAGGGCGGAGGGGCAACCCTAGGGACGCTTCTGGCAATACTATGAAGTGTCATACATGCGGCAGCACAGAGCACTTGCGCGATCAATGCCCGAAAGGGAAAGGAAAGGGATCCGTACATTTGGCTCAAAATTCTTTTATGGATGACATAGACTACATTGACTACGAGTTTTACGTCAATCCAGAAGCGGCTCCCGCCGCGGGCTCCTCCACGTACTACGTGATGGCCCGCTACGCTGAAGTGACCGTAGCCCTGGAAGACTACGCAGTGACCCTCTTCGACGAGTTCCACGGCTGGGACGAAGTCGACGAGGTCGCGTTCAATGCTTGGTTCGGTCTTCCAGCGGGGCCACCCGCCGACGACGAGATCTCCGAAGCTGAGACCGTCCCGGCGACCGAGGAAGAGCTCACCGCCGCGCTGGCACCGCAGGTGATTGGCATGCCGTTGCTGCCAGATCTTCCGCGAGCTGGCTCGGAAGCGGGAGACGCTGATGACGAAATGCGGGGCCATCCCGCGTATTCTGACTCCGAAGAGGCCGAAGAGGACTATAAGGACATGCTCCAAGAGCAGGTCGCAGAAGCAATCCGGCTCCTGAGTGCGCCAGCACATCAGCAGATAACCATGAACGACCTGCTGTCGCGCCCAGGGGCCGCACGGCTGCGTCCATACCTGGATTCGGACATGTCGGCACCTCAGATGCTGACAGCACTCCAGGCTCTAGCGGGGTCACCCGCCGAAGTGACGCCAGCCGCAGCAGCGGGGCCACCCGCTTGGTCTATGGATGTATTTATGCAGGGCTGCGACCAGATGGACCTCAACGACCTCACGATGGAGCAGCTAAACGACATCGGGTACTTCAGGAGCCCGTATCAGCACGTATTCATGGTCCAGGACAGCTCAGAGGACTCGGAGGACATGCGCTATGCCAAGAGGGACAGACGACCATCGCCTCCCCGAGACTCAGAGCATGACGATCAAAGGCCCATGGAACGTGGTAGTGCGTCAGCGGGGCCAGCCCGCAGGAGGAGCCGTTCAGCTCCCCGACGCCCTACACATGATGCATCGGGCTACCCGTACAGTACGGGGCACTCCGTTGGTGTATCCGCTCAGTACGTGCCGGATTGGTACATCAATTGGTACCCCGGCTACTCGATGGACGTGATCCGCCACTGGTATTCTAAGGAATACTGCACCAAAAGGGACGAAACTGGCATGATAATACGTACCAAGGGTGGCAAGACCAAAACGCCAGAGGCTTGGGACAAAAGGGCTAAGAAACAGGAGATCATCAAAGATCGCAAGACATACAGAAAACAAGTATGTCAGTGCGAGCCCTTCAAAGGTCACATGCGCAGTTGTCCAATGGACCGCCCCTCCAGGAGTCCTCATCACGGTGAGACCCCGTGGAATTGGTCTCATGGAGATGACGCTGGCAACGTCCATGATCCTAACAAGGAGGTCCCTGGAGGAGGAAAGCGCATCACAGAAGCCGATCGCGTCCCTATGACCGAAGAGGTTGCCAACACTGTCAGGGAAAATTGGGTACAGCTTCCCAATGACCATCGCCTCAAGGAATGGAACCGCCGATTCCATAAAGAGGCGGGGTCACCCGCAGGATCCAGCAAAGAAGCGGGGTCACCCGCAGACGCGGCGCCAGCCGCTGGGTCCGCGGACGAAGATTGGATAGCTGTTGCATCTGTTGCCGGGTCCGCCGCCGGTACTGACCACACCGAACTGAATGAAGAATGGGCGGCGGAAGACGGCTCAGAGAACCCATTCCCTGATGGATGCGCCTGTTGGTACTACAGCTCCTCGGCGCAGAAGTGGCTTTGCACGAGGGTAATTCACCGCCACGAAAATGGCAAGTACAAGCTGGCCATAAAAGGCACTGCCGACATCGACCATATGAGGCAGATCATCCATGATCATGGCCAGCCAGAAGGCCCTCCTAAGGACCCTCCTGGTCCACAACCAGGCAAGGGCAGCAGACCACCTCCAAGACCTGAAGCCGACTCCTCGTCTTCGCCGACTCCTGCGAAGAGGCACCCGCCCAGGAGCCCCGAAGGCACACAGGGGCGGGCGAAGGCCAGAGGGATCGCCAAGACGGACGACCTTGAGCTCGAAGATCCTCCCGGTCTGTCCGTGACGGAGAGGAGGAAGGCTTTTGCTGGACCATCGACCCCGATGCCACCGGCTGCCCAAGGCGATGTCAAGGACGAAGCTCGCAGTCAGCCTAAGGCAGCCTTCCGAGGTGACTGGACTCCAACTCTGCATCAGCCGCGCCTTGCACCACGACCAGGTTCGGCACGAATGAAAGCACAGCCGAAGCCCGAAGCTGGGATGAGGTCGGTGCGGGCAGAAGCAGCCGCCAAAGCTAAGGAGGACAAGGGCTCTGCGGGGCCACCCGCTAAAGCGGCGCCAGCTGCAGCAGCGGGGACACCCGCAGAAAGCACTCTTTCAAGAGAAGAACGCTTCAGAGCCCTCAAAGAATTTGGCGACCGACAGAAACTAGCCGACGATGCAGTGGCTGACCAAGGTCACCCGCACCCTGGCGCGGAGTCATCCGCTGGAGCTGCCTCGTCAGCCGCAGGTTCTGCAGGGCCACCCATTAAAGCGGCGCCAGCTGCATTAGCGGGGCCACCCGTTAAAGCGCCGCCAGCTGCGTTAGCGGGGCCACCCGCGCGCTGGCAGCCAGTAATGTCTGTTCTTAGGAACATCCCTCTGGGAGCCATGGAATATTGGCAAGGCATTGAAGGCAAAGGCCCGAAGCGCACCATAAACCCACGAGTCACTCGAGACGATACAGACCGATACGAGGTCATTAATTGCCCTGATCGTCGTAACTTCGAGTGCCGCAACGACCGGGAACGTGAGCAACAAGCCGTGGGAAATATGTTGCGAGACAGGCCGCCATTGCGCGTCGCACAGCATAAGGCAGAGCTCATGAAGGTCATGGAGAGGTTCGGCGTGGATCCGACTCTGCCGCGCGATGGGCAAATGACCAAGGTGTCAACATGGTTCTGTACAGCCCTACGCCATAGTCCGTATTGGAAGGACGGATTCAGCCGACACTTCGAAAAGATTAGCACTTTCGATCCATACGATGGCTGGGTTGTTGTTGACGATTTGCTGACAAACTGGACTGAAAATGATCAGTGGAAAGGCTATCGTGAAATGCACGAGGTGCTGATCAAGGGCAGGCCCCACACGTCATACGTGTATTGGGTGCTGCTAAACTGCTGTGAGATGATTGACATCACGGCATGCAGAAGGGCAGGCTCCAGATGAAGTGCGTTGATGACAGCATGCTGCTGCCTCCCAGGTTTCGACCAACGGCACGCAGGCCACAGTACTTCATCAGAGCCACGAACGGCCACAGCAGTCCAGGCATCCACTGTCCCGAGTCGCTTTATAAGCCGATCACAACATGGATGAAAGAACCAGACGACCCAGTATATTTCATCCACGGGACACAGTGGGAGTATGTCAAGGACATCCTTGCTAATGGCCTTTCATGCCTCGCACAGGACAACCCTAAAAGGAAGGGGGGGCGCCAATTTGTACACGGCTGCCCCTACCTCCCGGGCGACCCGAGGATTCAATCGGGCATCCGTCCTGACTCGGAGGTGCTCATATTCTGCAGCATCAACAAGATGCTGTCCAGTGGCTTTTCCATATGGAGGTCAGCAAATGACATCGTCATGACACGGGGCCACGACGGCCGTATACCGCCCGATCATATCCTCCAGATTGTGAGCATTGCGAAATATCGGGTCGGTGAAGCCTGGAGCAATCCGCTGGCTTATGACAAGTCGCGGAGGCGGGGCCAACCCGCGGACAGGATTCGCACCGATGACTACCTGCCACTTAAATTATGTGACAGAACTCTGGGTGTAATGGAAGATCACGCCATGTACCTAAAGGGCTGGTCTAAGACGGACGGTCGTCCATTCAACTTGATCATGACCGAGCAAGATGTTGCTCCACGACCGTACGACACACAGACGGTCCTCATGATAAATGCCCAGGAAGACGAGGTCATGCCTGAAGCGGGGCCACCCGCAGGTGCGGGGACACCCGCGGTAGACACCTCGGACGGTTCATGGCAACAAGTGGTCACACCAGTAGCAACGGTAGCATCTCCTTGGAGGCCGGATCAGCAGACATGGGTCCAGGCCCTCAACAGCTACTTGACACCAGCCGACGTCTCTGGACTGACCGATCAGCTATATCGTGCTGACCCGTGGGCAGTGCATACAGGTATCCAAGACGCACAGCAGAGGAACCTGCGCACTCCTGCGGGGCCACCAGGCGCCCTAGGACCACAACCACAACGCCCTCCGCAGCAGGCTGGAGGTGCGAGGTTTGTCCCTATGGGCGGCTCAGATGGTGGCTCGCCGTTTCGGACTCCGCCGTCTGAAACGAGCGAGAACAGCTTGTGGCAAAGACTCCAGGCGATTCGCGGGAATCCGGCGCTCGCAGCAGCACTCCAGGCGACCACTCCCTTTGGCACTCCGAGGGGTAGTGAAGGAGGAGTGGCTGCGGGGACACCCGCCGAGCGAACGCCTGCGGAGCCACCCGCACATGCGGGGCCACCCGCTGACGGACAGCAAGGTTCAGACTACGAACGTCGGGCAGCCAACTTAAGAGCACAGGCTACCTTTCTGCAGCAACAAGCTGATAGAGTGCCCAGCCTGTTGCGGAACCGCAACATAGATGTTACGAATCATGGCGACTTTCGGCCTCTCTGGAGCTGGACTTCTGAAGATGCTCCAAATGCTGATCCCACGAATCCATATCGACAGGTGTTTATTCCAGGAATAGCATCACACCCAATATATGGATGGGACAATCATGGACCAGCAGAGGCACAGGCCATGGACGCGCCGATGTACCCGGAGTACTACGCGCAGATGAATAACACTCCTATGATTGCGGGGCCACCTGCGAACGAATACACTCGGAATCTTGCCAATGAGATGTTTCGTTTGCAGTTTACTCGAGCGGTCGATGCGCAGTCTATGCCGCACTACGCCTACATGCCCACGCCGACGGACCCCGAGACCGTAGTTCAGCCAGCTGGTCTCGCGGTGCCAGCCGCTATGGGCAGCGTGCCAGACTACATCCGCGACGTGCACAACACGCAGCAAGCGATACTGGCATCTAGGCAGCAGGCTCGGGACAACACCAGGCTGCGCCAACAACGCGCGATCCAGAGAAGGATTGAGCGTGAGACCCAAGCGGGGACACCCGCAGACGCGGGGCCACCCGCTGAACGGCCAGATAGACGGCCGCCACCGACGCCATATCGGGAGGGCGAAACCACTTTCGAGCGCCAAGCTCGGACTCGCCCAGACGTGCCTGCTCCAGTCATTTCAGACTACAACTTCACACAGTGCCCAATCTGTATGGACAACTACGAGATGGGCACTATAGTGTGGAGACTGGCGTGTGGGCACTTCTTTCACGATATATGCTGGGATCGTGTTGCACAGCAGCACGTCCGCAATCAGCGACCAGGTGCGCCGAACGAGGCCCCCTGCGCTGTGTGTCGTGGGCCGGGCATAGTTATAGCACGCTTCCCGTATGCTGGACAGCGCGACGCTGAATCGGAACAAGCGCGCCAGCAGGAAAGGTACGTGGCAGATGCCCGGGAAATGCGTCGGCTACGTGAAGCAGTGGAGGCACTGGAAGCTCGAGCCGCGCAATCGGCGGAGCCATCCGCACGTGCCCCAGCTGCACAGGCACACCCCTGGCCAGCGCCAGAGCAAGGCATCCAGATGCCAATCCTGCCTACGCTTCGAGCGCAGGAGCCCCCAGCTGCGGGGCCACCCGCTGAAGCGGCTCCCGCCGCCAAAGCGGGGCCACCCGCAAATGGACCTCCAAATCCAGGATTCCTGAGGGCAATGGAGGCCAACATCAGGCGGAGTGGCAGGAGCGGAGGCGGGACTCGAAGGCCAACTGGATCAACCAGGACCTCGCGTGTGGCAAGCCCGGTCAGCGCTAGGAGCCGGGCAAGCGCTGAGAGCGCGGAGGCAGCCCAGTTCCATACCACATTCATGATCGATACAGAGGGGCTGACCTATGCACGTGACGACACGGACACGCTGCCGCCAGGAGGTGAATGGATGTCCACACTATCTGCGAATTATTGGGTTCTTGAACAGGAACCAATTACCGTGGAGGAGCGCCGCCAATATGAGCAGATGTGGTGCACCGAGTTAACCATGAGTCAATGGGTGCTTGAACAGCGCCTGTTGAAAGGTACACTCGGTTCGCAGATCACGTACCATACCAATGACCATGGTACAATGGCTCTGGCAGCGCGAAATGGGACATTCTTTCCTGACGAAGACGGTATGCCCTGCATCTCGTTCATGCTAGACATTGGGTCCAACGTGAACATCATTGGATCCAATACGGCGCGAACCTTCCAGGAGATTATGGCCAGGTACAATCATAGACCTGCCATATGCACCCTGAGCAAGACCCTCTACATCAATGGTGTTGGTGAGGGCGCTGCGATATGTCGGAAGATGGGCAACTTCAAGATCGGGGTACAATATGCCAATGAGGCAAGCCCCCGTATCGAGGAGTATGCCTCCAACATCGCAGAAGGCTCGGGTGCCAATCTCCCGGCCATCTGGGGCCTAGGAGCCATGGAAGCACGTGACACGATCATCGTGCTGAAGCCAGGCTACCAGAAGGTTATCTTCCCCAGCGGTGACTACACCCTGAAGCTGGGAAGGGGCGCCAAGGTCCTGAAGGCGAAGAAAACTCCCTCGGGACATCTCGCGATTCCCTGCGGTTTGTATGACGGGGCTAAAAGCCAGACGGTCACGAACACCTTCACAATCCGCAGCAGTCGAGATGGCTATACCGAGACGGAGAACGAAGAGGACCCCGTCAGTGCGGGGCCACCCGCTGGAGCAAGTGCGGGGCCACCCGCCGAAGCAACAGCGGGGCCACCCGCGACGGGACAGTCCATGACCGTCACGACCGATACGTACATTGTCGAGCCGTACCTCGACAAGCAGCTCCTGGAAGACACGACCCGTTTGATCGTGGACAGGACGCTGAACAGCTGGTGGGAGGGCCAACAGTGTCCCGAAGGGACCTGGCCACATATGAAGGATGCCCTGAAGTCTAAGATATTCTGGGCAGTCCAGGAGGCGGTGAATAAATGGGCGCCTGAGAACCAAGCGGGGCCACCCGCGTCACCGCCACCACCACCAAGCTACACGGGCGGAGGTTCGTCGGACTCTGCGGGGCCAACCCGCGTGGAGATCGTGAGCGTAGCCGCACCAGCGACTCCTGCGGAGCCATCCGCTAACAGCATGCCTCCGAGTCAGACGGCAACGTGGTCACACGACCGCCGCTGACGGGGGCAGGCGGGCGCGCCGGCGGCGCTCGCTTGCGAAGAGAAGCCGAATACCGGCCTCCTCGCTACATACGTTGGCCGCGCTGAGGCCCGAGAGGAAAAATATCATTCAAAATGTCTTGTCATCGAAGATATTCGCACAGCTTGCGCTGAACTCCGAACCCGTGGATATATATGCGACCGGATTACCCATAATGAGGTAATGACTTCAACTGGAACACAGTATTTGGGAAATTTGTTGGCAGGAGACTACAATATGTTGTGGGTGGCCACACCCTCTGATTGGTACGTTCGTACTCCAGGAAAGAGGGCGGGACCACACTATCAACGTATACAAAATCTCCTGATCAAAGCGCGTGCTCTGAGAATGCAGATAGTTATCCTGGGGCCACCCGGGTATTTCTGGAAACAGGGTCCGATCAAAGATGTTATCGAAGATTTGAAGCTAAGCATTATACGAATGAGACTCTGTCATTTCGGTATCAAGTTTGACCGATCCAGTAAATATCCCAGTGGTTCTTATATACAAGTTGCTACATCTTGTCCTCATATACCGATAAACTTATGGAAATGTACTTGTGGCTCACACAAGGAGCATGATTTGGATTGGTATGGCCAAGATCAG